CCATTATAATTTTTTAAATAAATATCAACCTAATTAAATTATAAGGAATTAAATTCTATTATAATCAATATAAAATGTAATTAACAGGTAATTGATAATTTGTATATGTATAATTAAATAAATTTACTATATAATCTTTCATAATTTTAATGTAAAAATGATAAAGTATACATATTAGGTTGATTGTGTAATTCGTACAAATAATAGTAAAGAATGTGTTTATCGATTAACACAATTACGTATACGATATTGTAATTCGATTAATCAACAAAAAGATCGATACCTTACGCATGTATGCTATTTTCGATGGCCAGATGGACGTTTACCTTTACCATGGGGACAACAAAATACCTTAGCTAAAGCTGCCAATACATTATTACAAATTTTGCTAATGGTAAATAATACATGTATATATCGATTATTTTCCTTAATATCATCATTAAGTAATTAAAGATTGAGCTACTAAATCATCATATTTATTCATTTATTATCATCATTAAATAATAATTAACAATGACAAATATATAATTACTAAATTTTAGTTATTTTAATTAGAGTAAAAATTTTTCTAACTTTTTAATGAAACATATGAAATATATACACAGTTATATGATATTAGATAATTTCAAATTTTTTATTTTTTATTTTTTTGTTTTATTTTGACTACGTGTAAATATTTATTAGTGACAAATAATATATTACTTAATTAATTACAAAAATTAGTTATTAAAATTAAACGAAAAAAGAAAAAAAAAAACCCGACAAATGATTTTATTTTTTGTTCTATAACAAATTACTATAGCAAGATCTTTTTTTTTTCAGTTTTAATTTAATATTAATTAATAATTTATGCAATTTGTGTTTCAAATTGATAGGTTGGTGACGATACGACATTAATACATTGTCATGCTGGTCGTGGTCGTACAGGTGTCCTGATTGCATTAGATTTTGCTATACATCAACTTAAAAATTCACAAACTGTAAATGTTGAGGTAAAAAATTTATAAATCAAATTTATTTTGAAATTAAAATTATAAAAGAAAAAAAAAACATCTAAAATGAATTAGATGTATCAATTGTTGCAGCTTTCAAAAAAAAATAAAAATTTCGAAATGACTACGGATACTAATTATAATTTGTAAAATTTTAAAAAATCATGTAAAACTAATTATCCGATATTTAATGATTTGTAATCGATAATCCGCATATCACAAAGATTTAATTGGTAATCTAATTATTCCGCATTCATTAATTGATAACTGATGATCTGCAGATCACAGGTAGTTGATGAGAACTAAAAATAAGAGAGGACATTATTTTTAATAGCCTATGAAAGGGTTATTCAAAATAATGTACCTTCTTTTTTTATATTATAATGCTAATTTAAATTCAACTAATACATTAAAAGTTATGATCAAAGTTTATTTTCAAATTGAACAGAATTTATTATTATTTCAATTTCGTGACCTTAGTTACAAATGGTTATTGATCTAGGAAAGATTAAAGATTGAAAATCATTAGTCCCAAATGGTTTTTAATTTTTGATGTTATTTATATCATTATTCACTAATATCTGCTATTTATATCATCATTTCTGGAAGCCTCAAAAAATTTCTCCTTTACATTTTTATGAAATGATTTGAAAAAAAAAGCAAGAAAAAACAATAAAAACTTATGGAATGATTTTAAAGAAAAAAAATTAAAAAAATAATTTAAAAAAATTTAAAAAATGCATGATTTAAAACAAAAAAAAAAGAGAAGAAAGAAAAAGAAACAATAATAAAACTTATGGAATATCAAACAACAAATATTTCAAGGCTTTAATCGAAAAAATTCGACAACAACGCCCAGGCGCTGTAATGAATCATTGGCAGTATGCTTATATTAATATAATTATTGCTGAACAGGTTAAGAATGCTAAATTTGTCACATTCATTTTATAATTTTTGTCACACTTTTTTTTTCCTTTTCTTTTTTTGACGTTCCAAAAAAAGAAAACTTTTCTTTCTGTTATTTCTCACATTTCTCTCTCCTCTCTCTCTCCCTCTCCCTCCCTCTCTCTTTTCCTCCTCCTTATTCCTGCTGATAATTTTTTGCTTGCTGTTTTTTTTTCTTAAAAAAGAAATTATTTCAATACTTAAATTTAAATTTTAATGCCTACTTACAATTCGAAATGAAATTAAATCGATATATTTTGAATAAAATTTTAAAATATCATAAAATTTAATATATAGTACATATGTATATATATATGACATTTATAATATATTATTCATATTTATGTGTAAGTTGAATTCTTTTTCAATTAATTCAATTAGTATCATTCCATTCCAATTCTTTGTCAAACCAAAACAAAAATTATCACTATTTTTTTTAGGCTTATCAGATGGGTTATTTATTGGATAGAATTAATGGACGTCATCTTACACGTCAACTTATCAATAAACTTTGGATCAATCTTAAAAATGATATGAATGAAAATTTCGGATAATAGGAATAATATCTTCCGGATCGGAAAAAAAAACTAAATAATCAATCATTGTCCTAATGAATGAAGTGATAAAAAATTTCCATTTTAATTTGAATGAAGATGAAATCATTCTTGTTGATTGTTCATTTTATATTTACATGAAGCTTACAAATAATATGTGTATATGTGACTATACATTTAATTCAATTCAAATATTTAAGTTTAATTTTGGCAAAGTTAAAAGTTTAGCCTCGAAATGTGAAATTAAATTCAAATAATCGATTTTAATGAATTGAATTAAAATTTTTAAATGAATTGAATTTACTGTTT